CCTTGGCAATTAACCCCGTCAGACTCTTCTCCGGTCTGGGATAGTCAGGTCGACCGCCCAGCATGTCCACCACATCACGCATCTCTAGCCAGTGGGCAGCCTTGGGCCGTCTGTTGGGCCAGTCCGTGCCCTGCTCCTCCAGCGCCTTCACCGGCGTGAACACAACCTCGGAGCCCTGGATGCCAATGACCGACGTGCTGTTGGGGTCCTTCTTCACGCGGTTGTGAGCGTTGCAGCCAAAGTCCTCCAGGTGCTGGATGCACTTGATGGCCAGCCGAACCGCCCGGCACCGGTCCATGGGGGATGGAACGCCGCCCTGTTGCACATGCCCGGGGATGCTTTCACGACTTTCGAACCGGTCGTGAGCTTCCTCGCGGATGATCTTGGCAATGAGCTTGGCATCGTACACTTTGCTCGCCTTTTCATTGACCAGGATGAGACGACCCGCGCGGGACTGCCCACGGTCGTTCTTGAACACCTTCTTGAGATGGTTGACATCCGCGTTCAGCATGGAGAGACTAATGCCCTCTTCTGGGATGTAGACTGCCGACGCCCCAACGCTCAGTCCGCTGAGCGTGGCAACGTAGCCGCAGCGACCGCCCTGCGTTTCAATAACAAAGACTCGTCGGCGGGTGGCAGACGCAGACTGCTTGATTTTGTCACAGTAGCTCACGAGCTCATTCAAGCACGTGTCCGACCCTAGAGAGTATTCGGTACCGGGTACGTTGTTGGAGATGGTCGCGGGCAGGAGGCAGATGGGGATGCAGAGTGAGGGGTACTCATCCCTAGCCTTTCGCAGCTGGGCCACAGAGTGAAAGGCCTCGAAGCCACCAATAATGAAGAGAGCATCAAATTCATACTGCTCAATCAAGTTCGCAATGAGCTCCATGCCTGATTCTTCTGGAAGCTCACGGTTTGTTCCGATCTCAGAGCCACCCTTACTCGCCCAACCATCTACTTCGAGCCAGTCAAAAGGTCGGACAGAGCCCACGGGCTTGTCGTCATGGTGACGCGCAAAGCCTGCAAATCCGTTGTGAATGGCAATGGGCTCGTGTCCTCGGCTGATACAGTATGCAACGGCTGCTCGCACCGCCGCGTTCATTCCACCGGCCGGGGCGCCAACGTTGATGAAGCCAACCTTCATGCGCTACGTAAAGGAATCCAATGTCAGTATTTCCATATTTCACGAGTCATGTCAACTTTCAACACTCACGTTCTTGTGGGGTAGCTTGTGGTCGTCGATCATGACGTTGGTCGTTGTAATATACGAATTGTACTGGTCGGCAAACTCGGCATCACGCAGTGACATGGCCTTCTCAAAGTCCTTTGCATCGACAGCCTTGGCCAGTTCCTTGGTTTCTTGGACAGCCTTCATCAGCGGCTTGCGTACAATCTTGTTCTCGTTCATAGCAATGAAGCAAGTCTCGGTGTCGGGGGTGGCTTCCAAGACGGCGTGAACGGCTTCCACACCCTGAAGCGTAGAGAGCACGCGGTCGTAGGCAACTGCCGTACCTCCGCGCTGGACATGACCCAGAGTAGTGATGCGAGTATCAAGGCCGAGACCACCCTCCGTTTTGTCGGAGAGAAGATCCTTAATTTCCTCGGGGACAATCTTGTTGCCATCCTTGTCGCGGGCGCCCTCGGCGACGATGACGATTGTCTTCCGCTTGCCGAGCTTACGATGTCTGTTAACAACCAAACGCATGTCTTTTCTCCAGTCGTGCTCTTGAGGACGCTCAGGGATGAAGACAAAGTCTGCACCTGTTGCGACTCCGGCCAAAAGAGCTAGCCACCCGCAGTGCCGTCCCATGACCTCAATGACGAAGGCACGGGAGTGAGACGAGGCAGTAGCTTCAATGTAGTCGACCATTTCGCAAATTCGTGACAGGGCCGAGTAGCAGCCAACGGTGGCATCGGTGCCGGAGAGATCGTTGTCAATGGACCCAACAATACCAACGATATTGAGGTGTTTGTAGGGAGCAACCTGGTCCTCGGAAAGCTCGCCATCTGCCACCAACTCCTCCAGCAATGATGGCCATTCGGACCGGAATCTGTCGGCGCCGGTGAGAGAGCCATCTCCTCCGCAAATAATCAGGGCGTCGATGCCGTTCAGTACCATGTTCTTGGCGGCCGTCAAGCGCCCCGGTCGCTCGTAGAAAGCCATGCAGCGAGCAGTTCCGATAAGCGTACCTCCCTCGGAGAGCCAGCCTCGAACATCGTGCCATTCCATCTTCTTGATGAAATTGCCTCCCCGCACCAAGCCTTCGTATCCTTCGTAGACGGCATAGGCATCGCAATCCATGTAGATAGCCGTTCGCACAACAGCTCGAACAACGCCATTCATGCCTGGGGAGTCACCTCCGGAGGTCATGACGGCAATCTTCTTCTTTGGAGCGGCCATGGCTGGAGAGCGTGTTCGTGGCGGGCTTGTCAGTGTCGATGTCGCGGCGGACGAGCTGAGACGGAGGAAGAGAGCCCGCCAGAAGGCGAGTAGGATATTTCGTAATGGCGCAAGGAGGGTATCGATGGGTCGAACAAAGAGTTGTAGGTAAGACGCGCTAGGCATTTATGGGGTCAACATCAATGGCAGTGTCAATCGAGGTGGCCGGTAGAAGAGGTGGCGGCGTCAATGGAAACCCCAAAGGGATGCTTGGCAGAGGCGGGAAAAAAAGAAGGCGGGTTGCTGGCGTGCAAAGCTCCAGGTAGTCGTCTTGAAGAGGTCAAACTGCATGTGGTTGAGTTGAGGCGAGTGAGGGCGAATGAGGGGCAGAAGCTTCACCACAGGACACCCACGAGGCAGGGTTGAGGAGGGGCACTTGGACATCTAGTAGACGGCTCGTCTTATCAATTTATCAATTCCATTACAGAAAGAGTTGGGCACTGGGGCGCTGGAAGGCAGTGGCTTGCAATCTGTTAGTGTGACATGTCACTACATATATTACGGTACATGACTTCATTCGTCTACGGCAACTTGCGTTGAAGCAACATCTAGAGGAGCTAGAGAGCTCCCACCAGCATTAGCTTTCATCGTCATACGGGAATCCCTGTCAGTGACGACGGATCAGTGCGAGGGCAATAATGTCGGGGGCGCCACTTGCTTAAACCGCCACCAGAAGCACCTGAGAACCATGGGTTTGAGTGAGGTGTTTTTTTTTTTTTTTCGCGTGCGCCTCAAGGGCTCCCAACACCGACGCTATTCCCTGGACCTCCGGACCATTGCTCGGCCTCATTCTGGCTGCCGTCCACTGGGCCCTCACCAGCCATTCCCAATCAAACACGGAGCAAATATTGAAACACGTAAATGCAGATGCTCCTCATCGATATGCGCTTGACAAGCCGAGATGCAATTGCGTGGCCTTGGAGCCATACGGAATGCTGCACTTCACACCACTTCAAGTCTCACGCAGAAATTGACAGACGATAAAGAGTTGTGCCACGTGAAAAATCAGCTCATGTTTCGATGCCTGTTTCGATGCCTGTTTCGATGCCTGTTTCGATGCTCTGCCGGTCGGTGATGACCGACGTCAACCGGGTGTCTGGTAGCGGCAATGCATGAGGGGCCATGATCTGTTGTTAGCCAATAGCCACAATATCTGCAAAGGATCAGATGGAGAAAAAATTCGCGCGCTGGGCCGGGCCAGGGCCACACGACGACTCATCGACCATCACGAATGTCACTTAGTCGACGGCGTCTAGATCTCAGTGAGTAAGCACAAAAATACACCAATTACATGTAATTGATTGTCGGCCCCTTCTCTCTTCTTCACATCTAACAATAATGTACTTGTAGCCGAATCTCTGTAATCGCCCTCCCCAAGGCTGACATGTCACCATGGCCGCGGCCCTCACAACCATCTCGCTGCCATCGCTGCAGAAAATCGCATCCGGCAAAGTCCGCGATCTTTTCAGCCTCCCTGATCCCAATGTCCTGCTCTTCGTCGCATCAGACCGTCTTTCCGCCTTTGACGTCGTCATGACCAACGGCATCCCCAACAAGGGCGCCATCCTGACGCTCATGTCGGCATTCTGGTTCCGTCTACTGTCTGAGCGTATCCCCAGCCTCCGCACACACTTCATCAGCCTAGATATTCCTGCGGGCATTCCTGCCGAGGAGGCCAGCGTCGTCAAGAACCGCAGCATGCAGGTCCGCAAGCTGGAGGTGTTGAAAATCGAAGCCATTGTCCGGGGATACATTACCGGGAGTGCGTGGAAGGAGTACCAGGCCAAGGGGACCGTTCACGGCCTCGCCATGCCCCAGGGCATGCAGCTTGCTCAGAAGTTCCCCAGTGCCATTTACACGCCTAGCACCAAGGCGGATGCGGGCGCGCACGATGAGAACATCCATCCCGACGATGCGTGGAAGGAGATTGGTGACAAGGGGACTGCCAAGAAGGTCGAGGAGCTGGCTTTGGCAATTTACAACACTGCTGCTGCGTATGCGGAGGAACGTGGGATTATTATTGCCGACACCAAGTTCGAGTTTGCCAAGGATGCCGAGGGCAACATTTATCTCGTGGACGAGGTGCTGACGCCCGACAGTTCGCGGTTCTGGCGAAAGGATGGGTATGAGCTGGGAAAGGAGCCGGACAGCTTCGATAAGCAGTTTGTGAGGAATTGGTTGATCAAGGAGGGGCTGAAGGCCAAAGAGGGCGTGACACTTCCAGAGGATATTTGTGTTGCTACGGGAGAGAGATACAAGGAGGCGTTTTACCTGTTGACGGGTACCAAGTTTGAAGATGCGGCTAACAAGTAGTTACCATGGCAAGTCAAATAACTGGGCTGTGATGGGGTAATGATTATAATTAGATGAACTTTTTTCGAGTCTTCATGTATTGCTTCTAAATCGTTGTTTTCCCATTGCAGTCTATAGCATAAATCACGATGACGCCCACCTCCAGTTATGCTGTATAAGCAGGCCCTCTTTAACATCAGTGGTTCTCATTGCGAAATGGCCGTTTTAATCCTAGGCCTGGTCAGCAATCCCCATTCAAAAAGGCACCTCAGTCGAGCCAGCAGAGCAGAGCGAGAGGACGGAAATACCTCTTAATGCCTTCCTTTACAATATCAGGATCCTGTGTATAAACCATCCGAAACCAGCCCGGTTTGAGTGAATGTTCCTCCCTGGGATGCAAAAACACCCCATTTGCCATCAGCTTCTTGGCCAGGGCAAACTCGGCATTCGGCTCGCCGTCCAAGTCGGTCGGCAGATACGGCGACAAGTCAATCCACAAGAAGAAGCCCGCGTTGCTCCCCGGCAAGTACTGCACGCCAATGTCCTTCAACCCCGACGTGGCAACGCCATACGCTTCCTTTAACTTGTCCCGGTTGAGTTCCACAAACTCGCGGCACCATTTCCGGTCTTCCAGCATGGCGGCGCCAATGGCAAGACTGGGCCCGGCCGGGTTGTGGAAGCGGATGACTCCCCGGATGGCTGCTTCGACGGCCTTGCTACGAGTGATGATGGCGCCGATGCGGAGGCCTGCGGAGCCAAAGTCCTTGCTGAAGCCGTAGGTTACGTGGAGGCGTTCGGTGTCGATGAGGCCCTCGGGGTCGATGGCAAGGATGGATGTGAATTCTGTGGCGGAGGGCTCGCCCGAGTCGAAGGTTGAGCAGGCGTAGATCTCATCACTTATGAGATGGATGTTGTGGCGTTGGCAGAATTTCATGAGAGCGACGAGGGTGTTTCTGGGATAGCATTTTCCTTTTCCAAGGGGAACACGATATGACAAGTCAGATGGTGTCGGTGAGATGATGGGTTGAAAGGCAGCGTACCTAGAGGGTTGTGAGGATTGACGATGAGGACGGCTCTGATCTTTACACCCGCGGCCTCGGACTTGACCAGCGCGTCTTCAAATTTGTCGACAACGTCCTCGTCAAAGACATTTTCTGCGTCGGTGTCAGCGTAGACGACACTGACGTTGGCTCTGTTGCCAAAGTCTAGCTCGAATCGCCCGTATACTGGTCGGCTTGCCATGATTCCGTCTCCTGGGTCGGCCAGCCCCCAGGCAAGGATTTCGTGCATTGGGGTGGCCGAGCCGGTGACTTTGATGTGATCGGCCGTGATGGGTGTGTACGGCCTCAAGTATTCATTGAGATGGACTGCTAGTGCTGTTGGAAAGCGGGATCCGCCCGCAAGACTGAAGCCATATGTGAATTGCTGCGATTCGAATTTCACCTGCATGCAGTCGTGGTGAGTTTACGTGAATTGGAGCGGAAAATGCGAGATTGGATCATACGGCACTATTTACGAAGCTTTCCACGTTGCTGGTAATTAGTTTCTATCAGGTATTTTAGTATTTTCACGTCGGGAGGACAGCAATGATATTTGATTAGGAAAATGTTACATTCTCAGCGGTTCCGAATGAAATCAGGCCGTCAGGGTACTTCTCAGCATCATACGTCTGTGAGGGCGCAAATCTCCAGGGTAAGCTTTGCTTCTCGAGAGAAGCTGCCGAACGTTTGGAAAGATAGGACTCCATTATTTCAGGAGAATACCGCAAGCATCTGATGCAATTGACCGCATTCAACTAACATATATTAAGAAACGAAGTGGAAGAAGAGAAAAAGGTGGGCAGAAACGTGCTCATGCTGCATGTATATACACATGCATCTCACAAAACGACACCGGTTGTTCTGATGAGTCATGTTGTGGGAGGGATGCTTGCTTGTCAATTGAAGGGCCCAGGTGGCCAGCAATCCACCACCCGAGTTCGCAAGGCTGAATGTCAACCGCCACAGGCAACATGAATCTCGAAGCATATCAACCACCGACACCTAATCCTATCCCTCCGCTGGCCAATTTCGATCCTCTTACTATCCCCGGATGTGCTGTTTCATCTCCTCTACACAATCAAGGTGACCTGAGCCATGGCTTCGCCCGACGGACCTCCCTTGTCCTTGCGACCGTTCCCCGTCGCTGACAAGGCCCCCCGAAACCTCGCCGAGTTCATCGCGCGCGTCAATACACAGTCCGGTGGCTTTCGTGATGTGACAGAGAACAAACTTCAAGATGAGATCAAATCCAATCAAATCGTCAATGGGGCCGACTCCGACCAAGAGGATGTGGATATGTCCGACCTAGGCCACGACGAGGAGCCTGTGAAAGATGCTGCCGCTGTGCGCATGGATGTCTTGAAGAATATAGAGTGCGTAGCTTAGATGCGGTTCCTAAGTCTACAGAAAATACAAGGCTAACAACGGCGCGTAGGATTGCCGGCAACACCGCTATGCTAACCCTCGATTCCCTCTCCCTGCTCTTATCGAAGCAAAACCCAACCCAGGCTGGCTTGACCCTTTCTCAGCAGCTACGAGAAATGGTGGGCATAGGGACCTTGGGTGCCGATAAACTGGACGAACCAATATTGAACGCCAACAAGGAAAAGGAGGAGGAAGAAGTCGCCACTGGGTGGACGCTCATGCAGATCAACCAGGCGCGAGATGCCGCCTACGAGGCTGGCAAGTTCCTGCAACGAGAGGTCGATGCGGAGAGTAAATACTGGGAGGACGTCATGGCAGTCAAAAAGCCTGGCTGGTCTATTTGCAGAGTACCGCATGAGCGCCATACTCTGGGCGTAAAGTTTGGCTTCTCAGAAGGCGAGTCGCCTCAACTTGAGGTCCTCCTACCTGTTGGGCATTTATACCCCCATGCTAACGAATTCCAGCTTCTCCCGAGTTCAAGAACAACGGCCTCGCCCCCATGAGAAGAGGCGACAGCGGCTCAGTAGAGCTTGACCTCGGACGGCTAGGAGGTGTATCAGAAGGACTAGTAGTCACATACGAAAAAGACGGCCAGGTGGTTGGCCGATCGGTTCCCCGTCGCCGCGCCCATGACGACACCTCCTTGGAGTCCCGTGTCCTTGAGGCCCGAAACACCATCTTTTCTCAAGAGCTCTGGCACGAACTGACCCGCGAAGCCCGCACGTTGGCGGCATACGGCGTCCGACCAGAAGGCTCAACTCTAACCTGCTCCGTGGACGACTCCTCCAAGATCATACTCGAACTCCTACCCCTCAATTCGTGCCCAGTGGCCGACGACTCATTACCCGACAACGCCATTGCGGAAGCAATCTTCATCTCCCTCCACGTCCTCCTCAGCTACGCCCACCGATACAACGAACTCATGAGAATCCGCCCCATACCACCGCACATCTCCCGCTCCCGCGGCCAGCAAGCCTACGCCCTCCTCCGCCCCGTCGTCACCTGCATGGCATCCAGCCGCTCCATCCTCTCATGCACAACCTACATCGGCTCCATCACCAAGGCCCTCCAAAAGTCCGGCCTGCCAGCCTCATTCACCCTCAGAACAACGCACTTCTCCGTCGCCGACCCCTCATCTCAGGGACCAAACCAGCTGGCCGCCGCGCAATCCCTCATCCGAAACATCCTCCAGACGATAGAGTTCAACATTGCCTTCACCATCCTCCCCAACGCATCACTCACCATCCGCGGCCGCACGTTTCTCTTCCCCGTCACCACGACATTCTATCAGGTCGCCCTGCCCCCGTCCTCCACCCTGCAGGGTATCCCCCCCCCCTACGCAGACGGCTACTCCAGCTCCAAGGCCCTCTTCAGCTACATCCGCACCACTACCGAGCGTGCCGTAACCCTCCACTTCTTGAACTCCTTATCCGCGTCCCCGAATCCACCGCAGTGGATACAGAGAGGCACGTCTATCCGCGACCCCGAAGACGATTCCCGCGCGCTGCAGTTCACGATTGCAGAGCGGCCCGTCGCGTTGGTGCTGACGAGCAGCTTTTCGAACAATCCCAAGAGGGAGACCAAGTCATGGACGTACTCGGCCCATCTGGACAGCGAGTCCACAAAGCTAGAGGACGTGGTGGCTCGGGAAACAAGCAGGCTTAGGCCTTAGAAAGGTCACGAGCCGGTCCCCGCCAAGGAGGAAGAGTTTTACTCGCCCATGAATATCCACGGCGCCGTGGAGAAATGGCGTCAGCAATGCCTCGAGGCCACGGATGGAAAAGCAAAGTAGTTTGTAGATGAGAATACCCAATACGATTATGATGAGTGTCCTGTTTGAAGGTTGACTTGAGGCAAAAAAAAAATAAAAAATAAAAATAAAAATAAAAATAAAAATAAAAATTAGCGGTCGCAAGGAA